GGGTGTGTGTGGGGAGGGAGGGGGGGCGTGTGTGTATGTGTTTGATGTGTGTGTGTGTGTGTGTGTGTCGATGTGTGAGTTTGTGTGTGGCGTGTGTGTGGTGTGTGTGCGCGTGTGTTGTTGTGTGTGCGCCCGTCGTGTGTGTTGCGCGCGTGTTGCTGTGGCGCAGCGCTCGTGTAGTGTGTGCGCGTGTGTGTGTGCGCGGCGCGCGCGCGGTGTTGTGTGGCTGCATGAAGTAAGAGCGGTAACGTAACCATAAAAATAGAAGCATGCTGCCCAACCAGTATAGTCAGTAAAGGATCCCACTCAGGAGGCATTCACTACGCGACCACCGCGGCCGGCAATAGACGACGCCTACATGAACGACAAGACGACAAAAATTCATTAATATCGAATATCAACAACAGCCACACGCACCCGGCGCACACGACACACAACACACACACACAGCACACACACACCACACACACACAACACACACACACACACACACGACATCACAACACACCAACACACAGCAACATCACGGCACACACACGCCACACAACACACAAAATATATATATATATACATCTATATATATATTTATTATATATATATGATACTTATTAACTACTTGATATATTGAACATTTTGTCAATATAATACATAGAATAGGTGATAATATTTTTATAACCACGCTTTTCTATTTTTAACCGTTTTATATATTTTTTAATCATATTTATATTCGTGCGCATTTGGTGTCCCGTGTGTTTTTTACTTATGTAATATAAATATACATAGCATACTAATACTAATATATACATTATATGATATATATATATAGTATATATATATATATATACATTATAATATATATGTCCATAAGCTGTTCAGGAGATCTGTGCGGTATCGCCGACTCGTCTGCTGAGAGCGACTGACAGTAATCCAGTTCTAATTAGCAGTACGGCAGCCTCCTCTCTTCACGCCTTACGCTCCTAATTGGATGACGAAGAGTTAACATCGAACAGTCTGCTATTGTTGCTGCTGCTGCTACTGCTGCTGTTAGTAGTGGTGGTGTTGCTGCTGCTGCTGGTGGTGTTGTTGCTGCTGCTATAGCTGCTGCTGCTGTTGTTGTTGCTGCTGCTATAGCTTCTGCTGCTGCTGCTAGTGGTGGTGGTGGTGCTGCTGCTGCTACTACTACTGCTGTTGCTACTGCTGCTGCTACTGCTGCTGCTATTGCTGCTGCTGCTGCTGCTGCTGCTGCTGCTGCTGGTGGTCATGATGATGATGATGATGATGCTGACGGTCATGATGATGATGATGATGATGATGATGATGCCGTGCCTTGTATAGTTATCGTAGGCAAACGCTATGCGGGGGAAAGAATTCGGTTTTACACGCTCTGGGTGCTTACATCGACGTGCTGTGATAGATGGCGCTGATGTCAACCAGGTACGTCGGCGGACATTGTTAGGATTGACCCTGGTTACAGCCTGATAATTCGACGCGCAAGCGTAGGTGGCGCTGCATACAACCGGGTACGTCGGCGGGCCAAGGTAGGTGGCGTTGACTGAATCCGGGCACGTCGCGCGAGGGAGGTCCCCCGCAACCAGCAGAACACGAAACACGCCACTGTGTAACCAGATACTACCCCCCCCACCCCCCACACACACAATAGCCTTCGAAGCAAGCAGCAAACGAGAGATCGTATAGGTAAGCGGTTGATCCGCAGACGTCGGCGGCCGTCGTTGCGGCGGGCGGACGGGAGACCCGGGAGGCCGACGGTCGCTTTGCGGCTGCCGCTGCCTCGACGAGAAATCAAATTTTCCCCGTGTCGTAACCGAATCAGAATATGATCAAATTTGATCAGCCGACGTTTTTGTTTCATCAGTAGTCGGCGCGCCCGCCGGGTATGACGTAGGCAGGGGGCGCTAGCAGCGTCGGCTGAAGGTCACCGGGTCGCTGGGAGTATGGGGACGCGTGTCGGCGCTGCCATAGCCTGCAGCGGGCGGAGATGAGGGCAGATATGCCAGCGTGAGCGTGACCTGGTTCGCTCTCGCTGTCGGTCTCTCTCTCTCTCTCTCTCTCTCTCTCTCTCTCTCTCTCTCTCTCTCTCTCTCTCTCTCTCTCTCTCTCTCACTCACTCTCTCTCTCTC